AAAAAATTGATGTCTGTATGACATATTATAAATTTTTATTTATGAAAAACAACCTAAAAATCTTACATAAAAATGCAGAGATAAAACTATGATAAATTATTAAATAAGATAAAATATTATATATAAGTATCCTAATTCGTAGAATGAAATGTAGCTAAGTATTCTTTTAAAAAAGAACCCATTGTTAAAAATATTTGCTGATCTCAATAGTAGACAATTCTTAAACCTGGCCTAAATCAACTCTACAAGCCTTTAAAATGGCAAAAAGTCTAAAAAGCCCAAAAATGGACCAATCACAGAGAGATAAAGGAGTTTTATAGGTGAGCTAAAGTCAAAGAAAATCAGGACAAGTGGGATGTGTCGTTTGGCTAGAGAACCACCTCTCAGTATTGATGATGTCTCTTCTAAAATAATGTTACTGGTTTTGCATACAGAATAAATGCCTTTGGGAGAAAAATGTGTGTGTGTGTGGTGTGCAGCCATAGTAACAGAGGGCATTGGAATATACATGGCTGTCTAACTTATGTTACATTGGCTGATCAGTAAACTAAGACAATAGCTCTGAAAATTAGATGCAGATGTATTAAGAACTTGAAATCTAATTCTAGTTTTTCATATCTATGTGGTCCAAGATGAGCAATCTCATTTTTATGGGTCAAGTGCAGCTTTTATTAAAATAGGAGGCAATAGTATTAAGTTTCCTCTGAGACTCATTGTGAGAAATAGCTTATTAGCAGTTGTGTAGAGCTTTGAAAATATAAAGTGTTTAATGTAGTTAATCAGCGGGTAAGCAGGTTTCTTCATTTATAATTAAGCACTCTCTTTTTCAGTGTGTAGTAGTTCCTGTGATGTTAATTTAAAGTCATTTGCTGCCACCAGTTAAGGTTTCAAACTCTTACAATCAATCTGCGATTAGTATTGGATATAACAGAGGTCCAATAGACATAAAGAGACTCCACAGAACTAAACACATTGTAAGTGAAAAGGGAGAAGAAATCCCTTTCCCCAAATGCAATTTCTTAGTCTAAATATTGAAAATCCCTTAACACCAGCCTGAGAGAACATTCGATTTGCCTTAATGTATCATAAAGTGTGATGGATGAACCTCAAAACGTATTTGTTTAGCCTGGCAATGCATGTAAAGGATTGGCATCAAGCTGAGCCTCTGTCTGGGTAGTCAATTTAGAAAAACTAAACTATAACCTATTGTCCCACCCTTCTTTTTAATATTCTGAGAACTGAATGCAAATGTCACCCATATTCATTTTTGAAAGTTTACTCTCAAGAACATTCTAATTGTACTCCTCTAATTTGTGATTTACAAAGATTCAACATGAATGGAATTTAATCAAAGTGTAAACTCAGAGCCAGCTGCTGAGGTCAGGGCAGGGCTCACTGCTGACCTCTGCCTACAGACAGAGGATTTCTACCTCTGGATAGCTGAGGTTCTGGGGAAACTTCCATTAGGTAAAACGAGGTTCGATTTTCAGTTTATCCTTTAAAGGAGTGACCATTGACTTTACTAGTCCAGGGTTGTAATTTTTAAGGAAATAAGCTTAATGCAGATAAAGGGAAAGAAGCTGTGAGAGCAGACTACTTTTTTGACTGTAGATGTCGACTTGAAATTATGAAATGTACAAATGTACCGCCCCCTTTCTCTCTCTCTCGACCTTATATTCCTTTAAAGAGGAAAGAAGTAGGAGGCAAAGGGCATACATACAAGCCTAAATACAGACATGTACATATGTAAATATATTTAAGATTAAGGGGGGACCGGATTTAGGTGCAAATAATTATAGGCT